CAAGGACACATAACTTTCATCTTCTGACTATTTAAATAATTTATCAGTTTCTTAGAACTGAGGAATTGAGAAAAGTAAGTTAATACCTTGGTGGTTCTCCACCTAAAAGTGGTGTAAAGAAGAGAGCCGTCTTGGGTATTGTCCAATTCACCTGCATTTTTTATTCTGTAACCTATACTTTGGTCTTCAGGAACATTAATTACTAGTTCAGACTGCTGGAGCTGATCTTTTGGGGTAATTTATCAAGGAACACATAGGGTATTTTAAAAAATTGGTCACATTTTGTATTCCTATGTATTCGGATGTTGTAAAAATGGAAATTGCTTAGTTTTGTCTTGGCTCAAACACCTCATGTTTTAGAAATTTCTGCCATATGGTTTCTATACTTCAGAATCAATTCCCTTTGAATAATATTCAAAGTGATCTTACAAGGTTTAAAAAGGCTCTTAAAACACTTTATTTTTTCAGGTTCTTTGAAAGACCTTTTCAATAGCAATACTTGGTAGGACTTGGATTAGGTTGGATTTATATTGTATTGCTAATTTTATTATGCTTATACTATATTAAAATAAACAAATGAAAACATAATTATGATACTATCGGTTCTTGTACATCACTAGCTAGGCTTCTCCATTGTTTCCTAGGACCAGAGACAATGACTAATCTCCAGGAAATCATCGTTGGATACAGGTAATAATGAGCTTACTAATTATAAATACACACATTAAGTATAGTGAAGCAGTTACTTTAGATTGGGATGCGTAAGGGGTGATGAACTGAAGTAAATACCTCATGTGATGATGCCATGTTAAACTGCAGCCCAGAGCAACGTCATTATATTTAAGGCATGCTGTGGCTGTGACATATTTTTGTACTGGGATTTCTGTGGCACCTCATAATACATTACTTTGAGGAGCTTTCAGAATGATGTTAAATAGGGAGCTGAATCCAGGAAGAATGGTAGTCAACTACTGAGAAAAGGAAGGAGTGGTGGATCTTCAGGTAGAGGTTGTCTTTCAGATTGTCTTTCCATAATCCCCTGGAAACAGTCTTGTGCAAGACTTGTCTTTTTAGGAATATCCCATCACTCAACATAAATTCCCTTTTCTCTCCAGCAAGCTTTAAAGAAATACGTCAATAAGAATCAAATGGAGGCAAAAGCAAACTATCCTTAAATTAAGCCAAGCCAATCACAAACTAACACTGTCTTCTATAGCTAATGCTTATTTTGCCTATATATTGATACCTCTAGAAATACACTGCCTAAATTTCCCAGCTTTGTGGCCAACATTGTGGAAGCTGCTATTCTAACATTTCTACAATGCTAAATTGGAGAAGGCTAACTGAGCCTTTGAAAAATATTGGATCCAAGCACTACTGAGGTGCTCATAAACTAGTAAATACACAGAATTGATAGTTATTACTGCTAAATGTATCTTCATATTACCTTGTGAATCTTATCTCAGGTGTAGCACTGGAAAAGGAAGATGCCTTATGCCCTTACTGATGTTTTTGTTGCCATCAGGAATAAGAAGATAGCAAGCAATATTCTGCTTTCCAACTAAACTTTATAACGAAGTTGAATGGTTTCCCAAGAGTTATGGATTACAGAAAGTACAGCCAATAAACATGAACACCTCATTCATAGGGTAAAACATACACAAGCAACTTATAACTGAAAGTCAGTTATGGTCAATGCAGGCTTCCTTCTCATCCTTTACCTTCTTCATAGACCATGCTGTCTTCCCAACTGTTTTGCTAATCCAAAAGGGAAATGGTATACAAGTAAAAGCGATGGCAATGAAATATACCTTCTCCAACAAAAAATGCTAAAAAATATTGTTGACACATGAAATTGCTATACAGTCAACATAGTTATGCTTCAGTGAATTTCCTTCAGCTAAATGTCAGAAGACATTTTTGTTGAATTGTGTTCTTTTATGAATTCAGTGGAAATGAATAATCCTGAAGAATCTTCTATGATTTCTTCTATTCACAATTTATACTATCTTCATTTTGTTGATTCTAATAGGACAACTTTCCAGAAGCAACGATTCATGGCAGCAGCAGCTATGAAGAGAATAAAGAATTATTTCTACTGGCTTTATTTTCAATACTTGATGGTTACCTGCGGCAATGACTTTGAACACTGGGAGCAAATAGTGATTCACATTGTTGCTACAACTACTTTTACCATGCTGGCATATACAGCTTATGTGTTCATTCCTATTCATCTGCACTTGGCATATCAGTTCTTTCTACAATTTTTAATCAAATAGCAAAGGAGGACACTGAACTATACCTATTTCAACCAAGTCTGGGTGGTTTTGTGTGTTTTTGCTTCTTCTGTGTAAATAGAAAGTTTAAAAATATTTAATATCTTTCCTAAATTATATCAACTGGTATCCTTAGATGTGTTAACTTGGGGGAGCTGCTGAAGATTTGATTAGTTTTCAAATCTATTTTACCACATTATTGTTTATTTTATTTTATTATCAGACAATAAAATGAAGTGAAACTAAAAGTGGGTAGATGCCGAGAGGGAAGAATGAGGGAAAGTATCAAATATGTATACCATCTGATAAACAAAAGTAATGGGAAAGTGAATTTCAGTCTGATATTAAAGATGCAATTTAAGACTTCTGAACTAAAACCTCAATCTGCTGTAAAATGTCTTAAGAGGAAGTTTTATCTAGCACTTTGTTTCACTGCTAATATTTAGAGATCTGTTGTTTCTGTCTTGGAAAAAAATTATCAGTTGGTGCGGATATTGTAACAGGAAAGCTATGTAACAATTCCGCAGATTAGAACTATGACTCAAGTGTAAAATGTCTGCCCTTAATTATGACACAGATATTATTTGATAATACAGTATAAAATGTATTTCATTGTCTGTCAAATGATTGGAATATGATCTATTGACGCTTCACCAAATGGCCTGATTTAAATATTAGAGATGTGCATGTGGTAAATTATTTTCTCATTTTAATACTGACTGGAACATATGCAATGTGATAAATTTCAAAAGACAATCATGAATGTAACTAAATGTAATAGGCTTTTCAATAGAGTTTAATTGAAGTGGATGGCAATGATCTTCATATGGGAGATAACCCTAAATCATGATTAGTGGTATCACTGTTAAACATCGTTGTCTCCTTAAGTTGACACCAACCATTCTAAATATTAGAATGTGCTGAACTTCCCTGCCTATGCTGAGAGAAGTACAGTCAACTGGCCGGTAGCAATAGCACTTAGACTTAGGCTTCACAGTGATTTTACACTCTCTCCAGGCGGTTTACAGACTCAGCATATTGCCCCCAACAATCTGGGTCCTTATTTTACCGACCTCGGAAGGATGGAAGGCTGAATCAACCTTGAGCGGGTGGGACTTGAACTGCTGGCAATCAGCAGTCAGCAGAAGTAGCCTGCATTACTGCACTCTATCCACTGTGCAACCACGGTTGTAGAAGGATGAGCTGAGTTTGGATTGGTGCTGTGCAGATCTCCTGCCCTGGGCTCCAGGCCATTCTTTGCTATAGCGTTGTGGTCATATGAAGTCACTGAACAATTTATGGAATGAAGGACATGAATGGTAAACAGGAGAATACTTCAATGGCTTTGCTACTTTACCATCTAGCCCACCAATCTGAAGGTTTATGGGACAGGGAGTTGAATAATCAAGCAGGAGACAATGAATTTTTATGCCAACTTTTTCTGTCAATTGAAAGATATGTAGTGGGGAAGTGCGCAGTGGGCAAAGCCCCTAGATTTCTCCATTGTTGCTCTAATTTACTGATGTTATTGTTGCCAGAGCTTTACTTCCATTTCCCATGGATTCAAAACCTGGGAAAATACTAGATAATATTTGAAGTTACTTAATCTTAAACCACACAGAAATATAATCATGTGCACTGTGAACCACACAGAACTGGTTTGGAATCAGGCGGTGCCTACTTGAATTAATTTTCAAACCTGAAAATGATTTGGTTTCTCATATTGCAGGATTAATGCTCTTCTACTATCATAATAATGGCATTAGAAGGGAAATGTAAATCTCATTAGTATTTAACCTTTATCAAGAGTTAAACACAGTAGTTAAGAGTACATACATGTTAGCACTTGAAAATTTATAGTTTACCAACATGCTTGGCTGGTAGCTACTACACTTAATTATCCTATGATCCTTGAGTGGTATGCAGCTAATACTACTTGTCCTCGGCAAGCACATAACAGCAGTTCCTAAGTGAATATATCTAAACATGTCAAGACTCTGAAATAAATATTGGAATTTCTGAAATCGTATCTACACATTATACATAATTAGAATGGAATATTTTAGGACTATACTGCTTCAATAAAAAGGAGGGAGGCTAAAAGTATTTGCATATTTATAATTATAATATCAGGAAAGTTTTAAAAAATATTGTGAAGAAGCACTGTGCTTTTGAAAAAAATAAATCAGGACATACCCTAACAGAGATATGCTTTTTTATCTTTGTATGTAGCTTGTCTAATGGTATTGCTCTGCAATAAATGATAATCCCTAAAAATAGGAAAAAAATTCTGCAACATCGGAAAAGTACGCATACACAGACTGATGCTAAATGAAAAGCTATCTCACTGCACTGTTAAGCCATTACTTTGAGTTTCTGTTAAATAACTAAGAATAGCAAACTAAATGGAAAAAATAGGAATATATACAGTATTTCTTTTCTTATACAACAAAAATCATAATATGAAGAACATTAAAAATACAACTTTTAATGTGTTTAAAATACAGTATTTAAAGAAAAAGAAAAATGTCAATTACTGTTATTAAAATGTATCACAATTATCATTCTAAAATGTGTCATGGATATCAGTGGGCAGCTTTTCAGTAGATGAATTTTCTGTATTTATGTGATTTGTATTTTTGTTTACCTGAGGGTTAACTTAGGGCAACACAAAATCAAAACAAATAAATCCCATTCTTTAGTCACTAGTCACCTTGCATATTTCACAATTTTTGTGGACTTTGTCTGTTCATTTCCAGACATAACAGAGCAAAATATTTAATTAACTGGCCTCCTATGAATGTTATGTGTTGCTGATATAACCATGAAATTATGAATCATATGTAGGCTATCATTGCATAATATTTAACTACAATTAAATGAGTCATGTCTCCTTGAATTACTGCAATTGTTATTGTTCATACAACGTAACTACAACACACACTAGCCAATCATTTTCATCAAGTGTTTGTGTAAATGTGACAGTTAATTCCCATTTAGCGAACACAATTGGGATTGGCAACTCCATTGGTAGATGTTGCAGTCACTAAATACAAAGTGTAATTTTGCCTTTCCTTTTTTCGCAAGGCAACAATGCATTCTCAGGAACATATAGCTGAGATTAATTATGTTTCAGTGCTAAGAATGTTTTCATGAATTACGGAGACTTCGATGAAAATAAAATGGAACTTGCAGCATTGATGCAGAACAAATATATACATCTGATTAAAAGTGTACAAAGTATGAGGTGAAGTTGAAACATAGTATCAACAATAAAAAGCTCAATCTTGAGATATTTTAATGAAGAAAGGTAGTTATTACTAAAACAGTGAAACAGCAGCATTTACAAATTAATTTTAAAAGTAAAAACTGTAATTTAAGGCTCCTTTGATGTAACATCTGCTGTACAAATAACATTTAAAGTAAAATATTATGGAGATTTAAACACTATACCTCCAAATATCATTATATGGATTGAGAAATGCATTTTTTACTACAAAAACCCTTTCAGCAATGATATCATTTCTATTTAATTACTCTGAAATGATGTATTATATACCAATCTTGTATGAAATTATTTTATGGTGTGTTGTCCTTATTTAGGAGAATTGTTCATTTTTAAAAACCATTGAAAATCTATTCGATACTGCCTCAACTCAAGGAAGAGTTCTTGAAATGTAAAAAAGAAGGCTTAAAAATAATGTCCTGTTGGAGAAGCTAAACAGTTTACGCCAACCTGACCATTCTCTAACTATCTGGATTTCTACTTCCATAATTCTGAAAGAACTGAAGGACACAAATATAGTTCTAAAGTAGCTGGTATTCTTAACTGTGGGGTTCATGCATCACACTATCACCCTAACCCTAATCTAACCATGGTTTATTCACATACTGTCCTAAACCATAAAATATAGTGTATAAATTAAAATATTTGGGGAATAAAGAGAAATGACATTTCATGGAGCATGATGTTGTCATTCAAATGTTATGGATTAGTTAAATTGTACTATAATTATAATCTACGTTTTGCATTGTCTGCATGATAATTTCATGACTCAAATTTCATTAAAACTTACTACAACATGTTGAACCAGATTTTTGGTTTACACTCTAAAGTTTACTCTTCTAAAGAACTTTACATTATTTTCAAATAATATGAATAATCTCAATTCAAATCTTCCTAATTTGAATTAATCAGACTTCCTACATTTGCCAATTGCAAGATATGTATTTAAAGGACCAGTTTATTTGAGGTTTGTTAACACTTGTCAACACAAACAGCCCAAAAGGCCTGAGAACAGATATTGAAATTATTGAAATAGTAGAAAATATACCAATTTGATATATAATTTTTTAAAAAACTTAAATCTATTGATTTTTCCTTTTGTATTAACCATTATAATTATACCTTTCAGAAGCATTTGTTTTTTAACCTCTTGCAAATCTTATCAATATTATTTATTTTTCATGTCAAGAATGCCTATAATAGATTTCTTAGGGACTATTTTTCAAGGAAGAACAAAATTCAATTAGCAAGACCTCCTAACTTATCCCATCAGCATATCGGCACCTCCTTCCCCTGTAGCATCTTCAGATATCTCAAGGTCTTCTAGCATTTCAGTGAGACTGATTTGGGGAATGCTATCATCATCTACGTCACTCTCCACTGGTATCACTGGATCTACAATATAAGAACATAGCATATAGTCTACAAAGAAATTATTACAGGATCAAACATCATGGCATGATATAGAAAAGGGGTGTCAAACTCAAGGCCCGCGGGCCGCATCTGGCCCAAGGGGTGCTTAGATCTGGCCCAAGGAGCTGACCTGGAAACAACGAAGGACCAGACCGCAGTGCTTCTGCCAGAGAAAATGGAGGTTGGGAGGACTGCGCACCGCCTGCCTGGGCTCCGTTTTTGGTCGCGACGGCCTCCTGCAGCCCTCTGCCAGTGAAAACGGAGCTTGTGGCCTGCCGTTGCAGCAAAAAATGGATCCTGGGTGGGTGGTGTGCACCTCCCCGGGCTCCATTTTAGCTGCTAGAGGGCTGCAGGAGGCCATTGTGGCCGAAAATAGAGCCCTGACAAGTGATGTTGAACTGGCCAAGTTCCCTAGCCATACACACACCCACACCTGGCCATGCTCCCCCCACAGCCCCGCAAGGTCAAATACAAACTGATGTGGCCCTCAATCTACAGTAATTGAGTTTTACACACCTGGTATAGAATGTTACAATCCTAAAAGGTTGGTAACTTGTGTATTTCTATAAGGTACATATAAAATAAAAAAATACTGCTATCTTTGCATTATTTATCATATAAATAACTGTTTAAGCTATGAAGAGAACAGACACTTATAAAATCAACTAAACAATGGTAAATACTCACAAAATCTTGTTGCCAAATTTATTATAAAACAAAGGATATAATCTTAGAAATGGATATGTGGGTAATGATGTGTGTTTATAATTTGCTCTCTGTGGTTGCCCATAGCTGGAGAAAACCATGAGCAACATACTCTTATTGATGTTATAATCCGTTGAGTTAATCCGAACATCTGGCAGAGACAAGTATTTGCAGGGTTTTTTGGCAATAATTTAAGAAGTGGTTTGCCAGTTCCTTCTTTCTAGCGCTAAGTGATATCCCAAAGTCACCCAGCTGACTTTCATGCCTAAGAGAGACTAGAACTCTCAGTATTCCAGCTTCTAATACAGTCTCTTTAACAACTATACCAAATTAATTCTCTTAATCTTCAGATACCGGTAGTTTCAAAAATGTTTGCAGATCTAATAAAGGTAGGTGAATCACTAATGATCAAACATGTCTTAGCAATAAAGCTAATTTAAGAAAAACATGATCCCTATTCCTCATGAACTGCAGGTTCTATAGATGCAATATTCCCTAATGTTGCAGTGTTCAAGAAGAATAAAATGATTTCAGGTGAGAAACTTACTTTTATAAATGTTGACATTTTTTCTAATTGTTTCATCTTCTTCTAGATCTTCTAGGAAGTCTTGGTATTGTCTGTAAAAATATCACATTGGAAATAAAGTCAATCTATTTTCCCCATCCAGAACATTCCAGATTACTTATATGCACATGCAAATAACACGGAAGAAAACCAAATATTTGATTCAAAGGCATGTCCTATAACTGTTACAAACATATCAAATTCCTTTTCCATATGAACCTCTTCTATATGATGTTCAGAGAAAAAGCAGTTTCAAAAATTGTACAGGAAAACCAAATACAATGTTGATGACCTTCAGTGTTTAACTTAGTTACATCCATCAACTCTTCAATTGGGTTTAGATACATGCTAGTTTACACTATACTAAGCCACAATTTGTTCCAACGATAATTGGTGAATTAGGAATGGGTACTTTGCAAAATGTACTGCTGCACATGAAGCTGCATCTCTGTGTGGATGTTCTGAAAGCTTTTCAGAGCTCTTTATGATTATAGGCATAGAAACATTTTCTTTCATGACACTAATCAAATAAACACAAGCAAAAAAACAGACAGCCAGATAAGCCCATAAAAACAGATGTACCAATCTTTCAAAGGATAGCGTTGCTTTAATATGTTCAGGAGTAATTTGTGTCAATGGTTTGCAAAGGCCTTTGCTTCTGCCAATGTGCTTTGCAGAGTGCTCTTTTCAAAAATTTTGCATAGCCTTACTGGCTAGATCAGGGCTGTCAAACTCGTGGCCTGCAGGTTGGATGCGTCACACGCTGGCCATGCCCAGTTTAGTGAAGGGGGGGAAATCACGATACATCATGTGATGAAACCCGTCGGCTAGATCAATTTATTTCTGAGTAAAAATAATTGAAATTGTATAACAAGCTAAGCCAAAACCAGGCAACCTAAGTTATGATTAGGCCAACATGCAAATTTAATCAAAATGGACATCAAGAGATAGTACAGAGGTGAATAAACTGTTTCCTTTGAGTTTTTGTTAAAATTTGCTGCTCTAACTTTAGTGAAAAAAACAGAGCACAATTTAAGATTCCTAGATTTTCCCATTTTATGTAATTGTAGTTCAAAAACATTAACTTCAAATTTATATTCTTTAAATTTTGTCAAGCTAATTGATAAAATATATATCATGTAGATAGTTCTCTCATAGATCTTCTGCAAGCAACTTAAACTGGGAGTACAATTAGGCAGATTAAACTGGTAATCTAGATATCAGCTTAAAAGTGTAAGAACAAAGCATAAAAAATAGGTTAAAAGAATTAATAACCTTTCATCATCGGTATCCATGTTATCTCGGTCTCTTTGTAATTCTTTTAGTTTCCAATTTCTGTGACGTTGACGCTTGGTGCGATCATAACTTTTTTTAATCAAAACCTACAAATGGAGCAGGGAAAGAGCTAGATCAATATAGTCTACAGAAAAATATTGAGATCTGCTAGAAAGCAATGCTTCTATTAAATAGTACATTTGTTAATAATTTGACTAAAACTATTATTAGAACTGACATTTTGGTTTTTTACAGTGCAAAATGCAAAGCCAATGTTAGGAATAACCATAGTTACCTAACGTTGTTTGGGTAAATAATATATAAACCATGATAGCAAAGTTTAAATATGTTTTTCACTTTAAACTTTAAATGATATAATTTGGGTGCGGTTGAGAAACTGCCATAAGAGGGAGCTAGAGAACCTGGATTGCTACTGGATTGATGGTTGATTGTTCTGCGTGTTCCCTGTTGCTGACGTCGAAGGAGGAAAGAGTTTTGAATGCTGCATATCTAATCTACTGTGAGAAGATATTTACTGGACTGATTTATGGATTGACATTGTAAGTTAACTGATTTTTTTTTCGACACTGGATTTTTGCAATTGAACAATCTCCGGACTGAACTGACTGAACACTAGTGAATGATATTTGGACTGTTTGACCCTGCTAAACTCTTAATGGAATAAACTATTCAACTAAGACAGTGTATCCGTTTTTATTGAGTGTGTAAACTAAAAAACGCTTTCTCTCATATTCGCCTGAATGCCTGACTGCTGTGCACATTCTGCTAGGGTATATCCCTAACAGCCAACATACTGTTTATTGAAAGCATTTTTACCTTTCAGATAACAGCCCCCCCCCAAAAGCCAATATTTTGACCGTGGATGTGACAGGAAGTAGCAAGGTTGTTAAACCTATGTCTACAACAGTCTATTCCATACCCTTAATTTGATCCTGGAAAAAGGTAATGACTTAAAGTATAAACAAGGAGACAGAATGTGTTAAAAAGCATTTTAAAAATAAACTAGAAGTGGGAACTGAAAAGTTACCATTTGGAAACAACTACTCAAGATGTCTGAATCTAAGATTTTTAGGTCATGTGTAACTTTGGGCATTCATATGCTGTCTCTTACACAACAAATTTAAATTTAATTTTATTGTGATTTTTTCATAGAAACATGTAAAATTCACAGTCACTTGTGGGAGACAGAGTGATTATGTTTAAGATGTGCAGAAATAAAAATGGATATAGTGCTTGTTAGAGAACTGGGGCATAAAAGAAAAACAAATATAATTTTTATATCTTGCTAAGGTAAAATAACCTGAAACAAAATTAATTTCTTATGTGACCAATATATATATATATAGCAAATAAACACAAGTCAGAATTCTTGGTGTATATTAAGATGTATTATAAAATACATTTTAGAATTCCTAGCCTATATGGGATTCTGTGGACTGTAATCCAACAAAACATTTGGATGTTAATATGTTATTTATATTAGATATGTATTGTTTTTAAATTTAAGTCACCTAACAACAGTATTGTAAGATACATGGCTATATAAATAGAAGAAATCAATTAATTAAATAAGAAAGCAAAACAAAACTAAAATAAAACTGTCAAATTTGAGAATGGAAGCATGCCATAATATATGAATGTTTTCAATTTTAAGAAATGACTTGTTTAAAGAAAAAAATATATCAAAACCATACCACATCAGGGATACTATGGGGATTCATCTTATTTGCAAATTCATCATTCAGATTACAATTAACCAAATCAAAGCTAGAAAACAAAAATATGAAAAACATGTATTAATTATATATTATTCTATAAATCTTTAAAAAAAGTATTATTTCCAAAACATTACTATAGAGTAGAATGGAGAAAATTCACAACAGGATTATCATTGAATATTTTCATGAAAAATTCAAAATGTGTCATTATGCAAATAACCAGAATATTAACAAGAAGAGAGATTTGACAGGATCTGTATCTGTCAGTTTTCCAAAGCATATAAAAATACTGAATCCCAATGTGCTTTGATCCAAGAAATTTAGCAAGACTTTAGATTGTCAGCGATCCAGCAAACCTCCATTCCAATCAGTAACTCCGAGACAAGCATAATCTCAAAAGTTCCTTTATTAGAATAGTACCTGGCACATTTGTGGAATCTCAAAACTAAAAGTTTCCCGGACTTCCCACAATGTCCCAACTACAATCCATCCCCTTTTCTCCCATCTTCACATCACATGGACCAATCATGATCTGTCCCAGTGTAAGATCCTTTTTCTCTGCTGCGCCACACTTAATAACCTTGAACTAAGAAAAGAATTTTATTTTGTCTGCTGAGAACTACTCAAATGAAATCACCCGCTCCCACTTTCTTAGGCTATGTGGCAGCGTGGAATATGGCTTCCAAAGCTGACAGCTTTCTTTCTAGAAGCAAATGCAATTTTTAGTTGCAGGAATATCTAAAAAGGAGATACGTTTTAATGTAGATTGTGGACTTTGGAGTCCAAACATGGACTAGCATAAGGAATCTGGTTTAAAACAGCAAAGATAAAGCACTGTAGTATTTTCTATCTTTTAGCAATGAGCACTCAATTGGGTATGAAGGGAACAACTGACTGGAATCCTTCCATAATTTGGCCACCCAGTAATTTTGTTTTCAACTCTTCCCTCTCCCATTTAATTTTATCATGTGTATCAACCATAAAATTGTATGTGCAGAGAAAGAGGCAAAATATTACAAACCCCAATACAAGATCTCCAGGATTCAGAAGATGCCCCAAATGAGTACGACAGAAATACTGATGGTCTGTATTCAATTCTGATGTTTTCCGAACCCAGGCTTCCGCAAGGATATGCTTAGAAATGCCAAAATAAAAGGAGTACATACATGAAAAGTAGTTCATTAACTGAAACAAAACAATTACAAATTACTTTCTAGCCAAATGATACAATCTTTCTAAGCTACATTTAGTATTTTCACATGTGGATTTACAAGCAATACACATTTATTTATATTCACTACCCATTTAGCAATCGCTATTGTACACTACTGTACGCTGAGTGTACTTTCACATGTGGCTTTTCAAATAATATAACAAGGTCATTTTGTACAGTGAATTGTACATTAGGAATTCTAAATCACGGATCTCATTTAGCTGGTCACTGAACTGCAAACTAAAGTAATAAAATAATCATAATGCATATGTGATTAACTTGTACATCCCCAATAAAACCTTTCTTTAATACAGTTGTTAATAAGCCAAGCCTAGAAAACTGCATTGTGATTTTAACCCACAGGAAGCTAAGCCAAAACATTTCCCAGTGCTTCTTCACAATTTTTTTTAAACTTTCTGATATTATAATTATAAATATGCAAATACTTTTAGCCTCCCTCCTTTCTGTTGAAGCAGTATAGTCCTAAGATATTCCATTCTAATTATGTACAATGTGTAGATACGATTTCAGAAATTACAACATTTTCAGAGTCTTGACATGTTTAGATACACTTAGGTACTGCAGGCTTCTGCTGATCACCGTCTGCTTGCAGTTTGGCAATTCAGGTCTCACCAGTTCAAGGTTAACCCATCCTTCCGAGGTTCGGTAAAATGAGGACTCAGATTGTTTGGGGCAATATTCTGACTCTGTAAAACCGCTTATAGAGGGCTGTAAAGCACTGTGAAACAGTATATAAGTCTTAGCACTATTGCTATTACAGTGCAAAGCTAGCTCTACTGCTCCAGGAGTTAAGTAAAAAGGGGCATTGTCAGTGCATCTACTGAAGCTTTAGCGTTTTGTTTTGTTTTTGGACTTTGGCTTCCTGGGCATTTTGCTCTTTTTTTTAGTGGGTGGGACTGCTTTGTACTGTGGCTTACCCCTGGAGTTTCCTGGCTCTTTGGACCTTCCTGAAGGATAGCTGCTTTGCCCCTACTGTGGAGGTTTCCTACATTCAGCCCTTTATTGGAAGGGCATGCTTCATCTTCTTCCCCATACCTCTCAGGCAGTCCCTTGCTTGTTATTTGGGATTCTCTCCACTTAGTAACCCGTGAGATCATTTAATGACTATAAGGGGAATTGCCAGGATTGTAGCTGTTGTGTGAAGCACTCCTGTAGTGTATCACTTGATGACTGATGATCGTTCAACAATCAATTCTAGTTCTAATTGTGGTAATAATACAAGGAATATCTGTACTTTAATCCAGAAAGTTACTCTTCAGTGTAAACTTGCTTATGTTGAACAAGAACAATTAATAGTAATTTACAGCATATGTTTTTTTCTAAGATAAATTGTATCACATTTATTGTCATGATATAATTGAATATAGTGTTTTTATATATTTCCAAAGAAAGCAAAGAAAAATATTTTCATAAATTCAAATCATGGTACAAGTTGCTTTCCTATATAACAGTATTCTAATTACACCTCTAAATTATAAAATCCAAAGTTTTTCATAATTTCTATCATCTGAATAACTCATCTATTAAACTTAACAATCATATTCATGATTAATTGCAATGTACTTTTCATTTTGAAGGATTTATCCTAAGTATAGTATGACAAATTTTGGATCAAGCATTTAAAAAAGCAAAAAAAGTTACCAGGATAATCCTGAGCATAACTATGTGGTTGAAATTATGGCCTTCTTGATAGTGTTAGTCCAACTGCTGAATTTAAACCAAATTGAGTATACTACAGATTAATATTTAGTATTTCTTCGTTTGTTTTGTTTTTCTAGTTTTTAGTATTTTTACAATTAATGATAGCGGTTTTACTTAATTATTTTTAGCTTTGTTATATGCCAACCAAAGTCACTTTTGATGAGATAACCATTAATTATATAAAAATAAATATTTAAACCATTCAGAAGAAACAAGGACTTCATTGGAACTATCATACTTACATGCCAAGTGAAACAATGTTAATCAGGAATCAAGATTTGCTCAAGTTTCTAGCAGAGAACCAAACCAATAAGCTTACCTTGTTGGATTTCATGCCTGCGCCAGCCCCTTGCTTCTGTTCATAAATCTTACTGATATCCATTACAAGAAATTCTTCTAACTGCTTTGGATGAAACAAGCTATTAAAAGGATGGCGCCAATAAGTATTTCCATCTATTTCTGCAACTGAAAGAGCAAAAGAAGAAAATAGGAACCAGAGCAGATATTTATGAATCAATTGTTGACATATCTGGATATAAATGCTGATATGGTGTTCTGGTTAGTAACTTGATGTTGGTGGAGTAGCTTGTGGGCTTTGAATGGGGAAATAGAATGGACAAGTCATGGAGGAATCAGAGTTAAGTATTTCTTCTAGTTAAGTTCTAATGTCTTGGAAATTCAAACAGCTAGCAACCTAGGATTCTAGCTGCTAAGGTTCATATTGTTCATACACAGCTTAGTTGTAGATGAGTAAGTGGATTTGCATGTAATACCAAAACATGACTGGATAAGTTCATTTCAAGATTTGCCTTTTGGGTTTTGGGTCCTTTAGTTGTTTGGATTTCAAGGGGAAAACTCTTGTGAAGAATCCGGAATGACACCATGGCTATGATCAGAAGCCCTGTTTTTAAAAAAGCTGTAAAGTGGTATTTAGATAGCAGGTTTTCATTTATTAAATTATTTTATTATCAATTTGCATTTTTAAACTTTTGAAAAATACATTTTCAAATGTTTATATTTTGCTTTTTAAAATTCATTTAGTGTCCTTGAACCCACAATCATGGAAACAATACACTCATGTCAAAGATACACGTATTTCCAACTGTATCTTCAAACCGTAAAATAGTTCAGTTTTTTTAAAAAGGCTTTAGGACTGTTTTTAAATTAAGATTGATGCTGAGTGCTTATTATTGGTATTATAAGATTACAGTTTATAGAGAAAATATCCACAAACTTACTTTGAAGAGTACTTGGATCAATGACGTGAATGGCACTGGTTACCCGGATACAGATGCAAATCTGGCTCATATTACCAAGGCTTTGAGCCAGTTTTGGTGACAAACACACAACATTGTCCTGTAAATGAAGAACAGAAACCAAAAATGGTGTTTATTTCAATTTTCTATCTTAAACTGTTTTAATAAAATATTACAGTCCTAAAGGCATCTGGAGATCAGAAAACTACACTGATATTTTTCTAGGTATTAAAGAATATGATAAGGTAACAAATTAATTAAAATCAGCTTATTAATGCTAAATGGAGATTTTAATAGTATTTTAATAGTATTAAAATAGATTTGTTTAGATTAGATTATTAATCACTGCCTGCTAAGTTTATCAAGTATTATATAAACATAGAAATAAAAAATATAGAATTTTAAAATTTTATGTAGTTGCTGCTACCGACTATATAGTTGGAAGAATATTCAATTGAATTCAACTGCACTTACTTATGAGATTTCATACAAAACACTGTACTAATATTGATGAAAGCCAGGAATGAAAAAAATTATCTGAAGTTGTCAGAACACAGGTCCCATCATCTGACTCCTAATTAATGTAGACTGACTGAAATTAAAAAGCAATCTAGGAAGAGCCACAGATTATCCATCTCTAACGAATGCAAATAATTTACTATTGCTTTTACAGGGACTCCTTATTCAAAGTCAATTCTTTTTCTCACATAGTGAATAGTATCCAATATATGCTGCCCAATGTTGCTTAAAGCCCCCCAAGGTCACTTGAGAGTGAATTAGGTGACATATAAACGTAATAAATACATGTGCAAGAATAAATACAACCTCTAAGAAACATCCCACTCCAAGCAAAAAGGGCACGAGCTTCTCAGTGCCTAATCCACAAAGACAGAAAATACCTTGCATACTGGAACAATCTCAACAGAGAAAGTGCTTTTGTAATTATATGTATTGCTGTGAATGTCATGAGAAATCAAACGCTGTGATGATTTAATTCTGAAATGAAAAAAAATGACAAACTCAAATCAGAGCATAGAAAGTCTTTTTAAAAAATCATCATAGTTTGCTAAACAAGTCATGGTGGCCTGGCTTATCGACAAAGCCTAGCCATAATGAGCAGAATCTCATAAGCATATAGCAAAAAATCGTATTTTGGATGATAGATAAATTAGATTTCACATTAAAAATCCCCCCTTCCCCACCCTGTAAAATAAGATAGCAAAGAAAGTCCATTTACAATTACAAGTCTAAATCTTGGCTTGAATCACTTCTAGTTCGTAAAAGTGAAAAAAAAATCAATGGGATTACAATGCCTTCAACAGTTATGTGCAGCAGACGATTTAAAGAACAAAGACTTACCTACAAGGTACAGTACACTGAAGGAAGTCCACCATTTTCTGAGCATGCTGTTTGGAAGCAAAATAGAAATCCAGACCATCTGTAGGTACATAAATGAAATTGAAATGAAGACTTATTTATAAGGAATATTATCTTTCTGGATTTTTGTGAAAGCCTAAAAGCTGTTTTGATATTTTCATAGACTAACATAAGTTGACTTCTTTATATAAACATGTTAAGAAAATTTCAGTTCGACCCTAAAAATATTTGGGCAGCAATATAAATTTATTTACTGAACAAATAATAATCCTCAACTGACTTTCCTGTGTGACCCAGTTTCTTAAAAAACAAGCCTCTTATTCTTGACTGCTAGTAACTTATGTATTGAGAATCCAATCACTCAAAGGCCCAAAGAGTTTTACATAAAAAATGTAAAAGCATATTACTTACCATGAATCTCTTTGATCCGAAGAGTGTTCTGGTGAAGCCTGTGCTTTAAAATTAATTGCTCCAAATAATAAAACGTCTTTTTATGTGGTGTCTATGAACAAAATAAAATTTATACATGGATAGTGTTTATATTCCTGTAAAGTGATTAAGGGTATTAAAAAAAGACTACGAGAGCTATCATTTCACTTGAAACCCAAAACTCAGTAGCCCATACAAATTACATTGGCAGGAATAAATATATAGCCCAGTTTTCTACAGAAACCTGGAATCGATTTATTTATTTATAGCACTCATATTCCACTATTTGGTTTGAAAGATTCCCAGAGTTGTTTACTGAGTAAAGGGTAAAAACAACAACCAAGCAAGAATATTTGTGTTTGAGTGTATATAGGTAAGAAAGAGCAATCACATTTCTACACATCAGATGAAATCCTAGCAGATGAACTATGCCTTCAGCATTCACTATTAATGATACATATGCACATATACATACCTTTTGCCTAACTTGAACCACTGCTTTCCAGAAATCCTTAGCTTCAACTCGATGGCAGTCTTCACACATTTGTGACTGAACAATATACTCTACTACAAAGACTTGCTGAAGAATTGCACCATTCATTACCTAGGTGAGAACCAATAAGATTTGCCACCTTGAGTCAACTGGCAATTAGGTGATTTTACAAACTTAGACAATAAAATACAGTAATGAAATATGTAGACTTTTAGAAAATAATAAATATATAAA